TTAACATTAACTTAATTCACTCTTCGTTTCTGTTTCCCTCAGAAAGAGACAAATAGTGAATTAAGCTAACAAATTAAAATTAGGCGACGTTAGTGCAACTGGGTCCATAAGAGATGTCTCCGATATACAAGATATATATCTCACAAAATACATAGCTAAGGCCTGATTGTACCAATGTCGCTTAATTTTAACCTTGGCTTAATTCGCTCTTTTTCTCGTTCTAAGGAAAACAGAAAGAGACGAGAAGTGAATTAAGCCAAAGTTAAAAGTTACGTGACATTGGTGCAATCGGGCCTAACTCTCATACCTTGGTATATTTCTGTACAAACACACAGGCGTGTACACACACTGTCTTGTATTAATATATTTATTGTATCTGTAATTGCAACGATGAAAAAGTTCCAGATGCACAGCCATTCGATTTTAACTTAGCATTTTTGATAAACAACTTATCGATCACGTAACTCACTTGATACACGTTTCTAATACCGGTTCGATATCAATCGGCTAGAACTGTCTACTCTATGACAGTCTCAGCTCTGTATTACGCGTACGTTTTGTTGGGCGAAGGCGAACAGCGCGAAACACCTAATAAAGCGAATTTTCGCACCTGCCGGCCGCGCGCAACGCGAATTCAAGTTGATTTAAATGACATAATATGCGCGGGCCATGTGCGCGCCGCGCCGAGCACGTGACCCGCGTTTTCTGCACAGGCGGCAATTTGGTGGACATGGATATGTGGACGATACGTAAATATCTAATGGATATCCTTGGTAGCTATTTGGTGGATATGGACATGGATATTTGGTGAATAATAGTATATGCATATCCATTAGATATCCTCGCTGGTTATGCGGAAGATATAGACAATATACATATCTATTACACTGAGAAAAATGTCCGATTAAATATAATCGGATAATCCAATTACATGATAACAAACGGATATATCCGATTAAATTGTATATCCGATGAAAAATATGATCGGTTTTTCAATGAAATTTCATCGGTAACTGCATTTCATCGGATAAATTTCATCGGATGTATCCATAATTTAATCGGAAAACGTAATCGGAAAAATTATCCATTGGAAACACTATTTAATTGGTTTATCCGATGGGAATTTGTCTCAGTGTAGATATCTATTAGATATCCATAGTATGGATGTCGTGTGGATATGTAGATATCCATTGGATATTTATTAGATATTTTATTCTGTGTGGAAAGGGCCGAGAGCATCGTCGATCCTTCTTCGCTGATTGTGAAATTGTACAGTGCAGAGGACACTTCGCCCCTGTATAAGTAGTTCGTATTACTTTCTTTTTGATAAACCGGTAAATGCAATATATTGGGGAAAGGTAGGTTCTTCTAAAAGGTCCCTCGAACCTGTTTCTTGTCTACTAGCATGTATTATTAGCAACTCTTTCCAGTATAATTATATTTTAGTCTGACCGCTACCCATTGACCTTCGGTCAATTTCAGCATAATTAGCATTAGCATATAAATACGGCGAGCATGAAGTCAGTGCAGGCCAGAAGACAAGAGTGCGTGAACGTCTTCTTCTCTTCGTTAATTGCTACAGGAATCGGGAAACTTTAATCATAATATAACAGCCTGTGCAGAAAGATTGTCATAACCGATAACGATTCCGTCGTAATACTAGGTCGGTATCGAAACTCAATTTACACAAACCCAGTTAGAAATGACTCGTCGATCGACGCCGATCGACAAGTCATTTCCGTAGGAAGAATTATTCGCATCTAATCGCATCGATCGCATCGCGAGGCGCGCAATAGACCCCTGCGCTCAATAGATAAAACATTGGGAATAGGAATAAGTAATAAATATTGGAGACGGGAAAGAAAGAAGGTGGATTCCCATGCAGCAAACAGCAAAGTAACGGTTACATTTATATTGATGTTATGTAATTGTTACTTTGGTGTTTGCTGGGTTACCCAAGTAGAACATATTAGTCATGAAAACATCAAAATGACATCATTTTTTTTAATCATTTTTTATGCATCACGGTGACGTCAAAATAGCCCACCGAGAGCACCTATTTGTGACATCATTTAAGGCATCAAAATGTTGTAAAAATTATCCTGTGTTACAAAGCAAAGTCAATTAAATATTATACATAAAAAATAAATTGAAGTAATATAAGATAAACAGCATATATGACTGATCATGTAATCTGTAATAACATATTATAAACATCACGGATATCATAAAACAGCGTATCATAAGTCAGTCGGTGCAAAGTAAATCTTGATGTCGACCATTTTATGACGTAAAATTCATCATTATAATGTTGACGTTTTTGTGATTAACTTGTTCTACTCGGGAGGATCTCTCAGCCATCGTTTTTACCAGGCCAATATATTCAAATGTAGGTTTTGCACTTATAATTCTTTTTATTGGCCTTTGTACACTAAAAATATCAGGATAAGTTGCGGATTGCGTAGCAGAACACTTACATACTTAAAACACTCGATCAGAAGTCTAATAAAAAAATATTGCTATTTGAAAATTTTCATTCGCAGTTTATGCTAAATTTTAAATTGGCTTTATAACATTGCAAAATTCTTCCACACGACTAAAGTACGGATAAAGAGAAAACCAGGGACAGTCGACTTTATTTAAAAATATCACTTTATAAGTGATTGAGATTATCGATCGATGTCGAATCGATGTCAATCTGACGGTTTCAATGTCGATTCAACATCGTTTCGACATCGATCGACGGGTCATTTCTCGCTGGGAAAGTTGACCGGCGTAAAAAAATTTGCGCTGTGACAGACGACTTGAATATCGCAGTATTTAAATGTAGCGCACAAAATAAAAGAGAATAAGATGAGATACAAGTACAAAAAAATTATCTTGCGCAGTCACAATCCAAGATAGTTATATTGCAGCTTACGAGTTTAAACGATACGAATTTAATATTTATTCCTATTCCTAATATGGTACTTTCTCTGTACTTGCGCGCGGGAGGGAAACGGGGGCTCCCTGACCCAGTTTTCGTTGCGCACCCCTGCCCGTAACAATCGACTGATCGCGCATACTGATGAACGGACGTAATAAGCCGTGCCGCGCGCTGAATAACAATGCGTGTTGTTGTCGAGTGCCTCGAGGCGCCCCGCGCGCCCGCGACGCGTACGCGATTCCTGATTTTTACGATTCGCCTCGCGACACGGGTTTGTTGTGTGTAAAAAATGCGAGCGCGCCGCCGCCAATTGGAGGTTATGCGCAGGATGTCGTTTATAATGAAGATTGTAGCTGCTTGCGGAATACGCGGTCGCGACGCTATGCACAAAAACAGTAACTAATCGCGATTAGTCATCTCGTACAGTCGTTCCAAAGTGCCATGTTCTCTCAGACGATAGATCCGAATCCCATCGACTAGACGCGACGGCGATCCTCTATCATGATCAAGGAGAAGCTGGAGCTGCGCGAGAATCGCTCCAAGAGGTGGTCGTGCCGCGAATTCTGGCGCAGCCTACCGGAACGCGTCTCCAGGACGGTGGAGCACTTCTTTTATCGGTGAGTATCCTAACTCGACGGGATCCCCGGCGCACTGGTTTGATGACAAAGCGCAATGTTCGTCGTTCTCGAGCAGACTCGGGGTGAACATCGCCAGAAATCCGTACAAGTGGATGCTCGGCTGCCTCGTGGTAGTGCTGATCTGTATCTCGGGCCTCTTTCGCTTCCGGCAAGAGAAGAGCCCCGTCAAGCTCTGGGTTCCGCCGGACTCCGATTTCGTCTTTGACACCGAATGGCTGATGACGCACTACCTGGAGGCTCTGCGAGTTCAAGAGTTCATAATTACCGGCGACAATGTCTTGGAGCAGCAAACGCTTATTAGGGTAATTATATGTACAATGGATGATTTATCTCAGTCGATGAGTCTCGGTTCTTGCGCTAGTTGGATTGTAATGAGCTATCACTCGTCTGTTGCAGTTAAATGAGATTACTAAACAAGTGATTTCCGCACAAACACCGGCCGAGAACATTTCTTGGACAGATGTTTGCATGAAGTAAGATACGAAATCCTCCTTGGAGAGATTCAATTCTGTCAGGGTTGAGAAAGTGATTTTATAAAAGTGTCTAGTTACAGTTACAGTTTTTCGCTAAAAAATGTAACCAGTTACAGTTACAAGTTACCAATTCTAAAAAGTAACGCGTTACAGTTATTCAAAAAGTAACGAATTGTTACTTTACAGTTACTGTCTTGCAATGAAAATAAAAATATCAAATCTGCATGTGAATGATAAAGTGCCGATAAAGGCGTTTATGCGCAAATACAATGCCTAATGCGATTTGTGGAGGTTTGAAATGTATACATATATGTGTAAAGTAACTATTAATGTAACTGAGTTAAAAATTGAGACGGGGAAACAAAAAAAAACCGAAGTCATCTACCATATTAATTGCAACGACTGTGAAGCCTCTTACATTGGACAAACCAAACGACACCTTCTGACCAGAATCAAAGAACATAGAAATAACATGAAAAAAAAACTGCCGCTTCGTGGTCAGCAAACACCGTGCATTACATGATCACGAGTTCAATTGGTCGGAACCAAGAATTTTACATAGCGAGCGCCTCAGGAGAAAAAGAGATATCGCCGAGATGTTTTTTTATCAAGAAGACCGATAACACGATAAATTTGCAAACAGACACCGAAAACTTAAATGTAATACACGACTGTGTAATCAAAACGGTATTGTTTGCAGTATCACCTTGTATTGTTCCTAAGACCTGACTAACAAGTTAGTTTGAGCCCAGCTACCACAGTGCTCACACGTATGCATATATTTTATAACTCGACTCTGTCTTATTCGACGACGATGACTGACTTAGGTTGCTTAACTTTGGCCGTTTTACTTATTAACCTACAGCATTTCATAATTGCGTTGTTGTTGCTTTGCAGTATCACTCGAAAAGGACCCAAAAGAGTAGGGTCGAAACGTTGTGTAACAAACTAATTAAATAACTAGCCAGTTGGGTTGACAATAAGTTTCCCGTTTAAATTTTTAATTATTACCGGTGACAATAAGCAAACTCTCCTTTCGTAACTGAGTTAAGTTACAGTTACAGATGGAAACAAAGTAACAAAGTTAGAGTGACCAAAAAAAAGTAACTGTAACTGTAAGTTCGTTACAAGTAACTAGTTACTTCTTCTGGATTCTATATTATGCAATTTTACACGAGTCCCACAAAAAACGGTTTCACAAGAAAACATACAAAGAAAATGTTTATTACAGAGTTCCTGTTATTACCGAGTACATGTACAGACAGAAGAGACAAAGTTCTTCCTCGGAGGACTCCTTTTTCGACGATGATATCACCTCTACAGTTAATCAAACGTTTGAACCTGCCATTCATATGGATAGTAATATGTATTGCAGCATAATCGAGAGTTTGCCCATGCGCTGCCTTATGGTTAGCATCTTGGACATATGGCATTTTGACAGCGCTGAAATTGAAAAGGACTCCACCGAGGAAATTATCGCAAAGATAAACACAATAAAAGTGAGCCCTACATTGGGCCACGCCGTGAACTTTTCCGAGTTTTTGGGAGACGTGACTCTGGACGAGCGAGGTAGAATCATTGCCGCGACAGCGATAAGAACTCTTCTGATGGTTCACGTGAATTTTATCAACGTGGACATGGATAAACTGGGAAATATGGCAGGGACTGCTGATTGGGTAAGGTGAGTTTATGCGAAGGTCTAAATCATACTTCTTAATCGCTGCCTTCATATTGAATGAATGCGAAATATTTTAAACTTGAAGCTTGTCACAAATTGAGCTTAATATTACTGCTAGTAATTAGAATGTATTTTAAAAAATTGAAATTTGTATTTACATTCCTAAATATGATTTAGGCCTTTTATTATTGTGATCCGTCATGTACGAAGATAAACATTTTATTAAGATAACAATTGTACGATAATGATAAGTTTCATTATTTAATAAGATATAAGATATAAGATAATATTATATGATAAAATATTAGAAGACCCATTTTAGAAGATTATTTTACGTCGATTACTTATATCTTGATGTGCTACATATAGGTATTTCTATTGCGGCAATACTAAACATATTTAATAATAATATTTATTGGGTGGTTGCATATGAAACCGCCTGTTGGCAATAGATTGTATTAGATACACTATTTCTTCGAATTGAAAGTTGGCAATACACATGATGACTGGTCTGTAGAGTCCCGACTCGCTATAGGTGACATTTGTGCGACGCGTTAACATAATCTATTTTATCCCTAATATTATCTCATATAATGAAGAAGTATAATAATAGTTAGCCTTAGAATATAAACCAGTCGTCCGTATTCAGGCAACAGAGGACGTATTGAAATGGGAATTGGCTTATTTGGAAAGTATAAGAAACCTGTCGAATCAACTGCAAAGCGAAAAAAAAACAAATGGTTCCTGGGCGCTTTATTATGGAGCTGGTAGAAGTTTCGGAGATATTTCTGCGACATCCATGTTTCAAGATATAGATAAATTGATTGTAGGATGTGCATTAATGTTTCTATACGTCTTAACAATTTTGTCGAATTACAACTGGGTGGAGTGGCGGGTACGTATTACGAAATCGGTACGAGAGTAACGAATGATGTGACGCTTCCCGCTTAGTGAAAGCCGTTCGTTCTTTCACAGTTTTGTCTTACTGCTACCGGTATTTTCTGCGTCGGAGCTGCGTTTATACTTGCAATAGGAATATGCTCTCTAATCGGAATCCCATACGGTCCGGTGCACACGTCGTTGCCGTTTATGCTCTTGGGTCTAGGAATAGATGATATTTTCGTGATTCATGCATCTTGGAAACAAATACATGCCGATGAGTCGAATTTAAATAAGCTACTAACAGAAAGAATCGGGCTTACGTTGGGCCATGCCGGTTCTGCTATCACTATTACCTCGCTTACCGACGTCGTTGCATTCATCATTGGTGCCTCCACAGTACGTAGTAATCGTAATGTGCACGAAGAATGCGTGACGTTAACCATGCTGGCCGATTCGCGACTTTATTTTAATTATTTTCGATGATATTTATTCAGATATTCACATTTACATTTTAAACATAAATAATATACATATACGAATATTCGTAAAGTGAATATTGTTTTCAATTAAGTAATATAATTGTTCTTTCTTGTTATTGAAATGCTTCATCGGTAATACTTATAAACAATGATTTATAAGAAAACATATCTTTTCGAATTATTTTTTCATATAAAATATATATTTTTATTTATTCCCACCCAAAAAGTAGAAAAATGTAAATTATTAACTTTATTCAAATTAGTTGCGGTATATTTCTAAAACTCTTGTTAGGTTACTTGATTAATGTTACGCATTTTCTTTGCTTTTATATAGAAATAATTATGATAACAAAAGATGTCATAATGATGTTTTATTCTAGATATTGCCTTCACTTCAGTCATTTTGTATCTATGCCGCGGTGGGCGTATTTGTAACATTTTTATTACAAGTTACATTTTTTATTGCCTGCTTTACCTTGGATACTAGGAGACTAGAACAAAAGAGGAATGGGGTATTACCGTGTATTGTGCATGAAAATTTTTCACCCAAGCCAATAGACTTAAGCAGTACAGTTTCCTGGAAATTTATAAACTTTTTGTATTCGAAGATAGTATTAACTGTGCCTGGGAAGATTATTATAGTGTTAATTACTTTTGTAACATTGTCTATAAGTATTGTGGGTTCGCTTCAACTGCAACAATGGTTTGATCCATTATGGTTGTTACCGCAAGACTCATACTTGACTCAATACGTAGCTGTCCGGACTAAAACATTTCCCAATCAAGGAATGGAAGCCTTCGTCGTTATAGGAGATGATGTTGATTTCCCCTCTGAATTTCCTAAGATAATATATCTGACAGAACGCTTACAGAATGCATCTTTTATACAAAACATAGAACCTTGGCCGATTGATTTCGCAAAATTCGTGTCGACGCATTATGCTACAGGTTATTTATTGTAATATTTATTTGAATTGTTCGTCTTAAAAGCGGCGAAACAAAAACTTTAATTTCTTTCTGAAAGGAGATTCTGAAATCTTGTATTAATGTACATCTGGAATTTACTTCAATTTGTACAAAAATAGGCTTTGTACAAAACTTTTTGTTAGGACAAATCACTCGTCGATTAATTAGAGTTTGAAAATTAATTGAATACTTTTCTTTCTTTCCGTTAGATTTAAGGACTACGACGATCACAGACGACAATTTTCATCATTATCTATCGCAATTTCTTGTTAGTCGAGCTGGTGGTAAATATCAGAGAAATTTCTTTTTCAAGAAGAAGTTCAGGTGTGGTTGGAATGCCCCACGAATCGTAGTAGCAAACATTGATTTCAACTACAGACGATTTTCGGGTCCTCATGAATGGGTTCCAGCAATGGATAACAGTAAACTCTTCGCGAAGGAGGCGCAAATTCGCGGATACGTAACGGTGTGGTCTAAAATGTTCGGATCTTGGACTGCCGATAAATTTATCAGTCAGGAAGTAATTCGAAACGTCTTCCTGGCATTAATCTGCGTTATGGGTACCACAACAGTTCTGATCGTTGAAGTGCAGACTTGTTGTTGGATCTTACTCTGTGTACTTCTCACCTTACTAAACGTTTGCGGATTCATGTATTTCTGGGGAATGACGATAGACATAACGTCCTGTATTGGTGAGTGTATTTCACATTTTTTAAATTTTGACTTTGCGACTTATAATTTTGGTTATTCTGTTTACGTATAAGTAAGAAGGAAGGGTATTTGATAAAATAAAGAAGAAAGCTTTTATAATCAAGATCTGACTTGCGATAAATCATATTTGTCTCACTTTTATAAAATATTAAAATTTTTTTGTGTAGATATCGTTCATTTTATTGTCATTTCAATGACTTCATGCTGCGCTGTAATATAAAAAGATGTTTTACTTACAAGAAGTGCAAAGTACGAAGAGCAAACTCAACCTTTGTTCTCAATTCTTATCTTATTCTTTGTAAGGCTAAAAATTAAATATCTTTGTACGATAATTTTATCAAACTATACGTAATATACGAGTTGTTCTTGTTACAAAGTAAGTTCTCTTTCAGCATCGTTTAACCATTTTATGACCAGTGAGACATGACCGATCGCTTTCGCAAGGTCGTATCTCGATTTTGCGCATTTTTCGGTTTTCTGCTTAAACGCTCATTCTGAACCGAAAATTACGTAAAACCTTGCGAAAGAGATCAGTCGATATATGTTTTGCCTTTGCAACAAAGGTTTTCCAATATTATACTGACTGAGCACGTTTGACCGATGACACATAAATTATTCGCGCTCGGTATATATGATATCGTCTAAGTAGAACTCAAGAATGCTCATGCACGATTGACTCATCGATAATAATTGGCAGTGCTATGATCTTTCACTTCATGATACACATGCTTTTACTTTCGCGCCCAATATACTGAGTGGTGCTACCAGTTAAGTTTAAGAAAATTTGCTTTTCTTTCATTTTTAAATTGTAATCTGTATTGAAATACCCGATACTCACTCGTCACGTTCGAGTAGCACGATGCCTCTCTTTCAAAATGATACCAAAATGGGTACGAAAATGGGTTTTATCGGTCCATTATCGCTTCAAAAGACATGTCGCACTTCCGTCGAGGAGATCCATCTTTCGCCAGAAAGATGGCAAAAAGGTAGTACATGCAGAAGGGAAATATTTCAATTGACATTGTTGCTTCAATACAGATTGCTTAATAAAGAAAATTTTGATAAAAACGATGGGAAACTTATGCATACCGCTAATAGAAAAGAGCCACGAGAAATGATAAAGACGGGGAATAAATCAGAGCGAGGAATTTATGTTTTGTACGGAAATGTGTGCTGGCACTAAAGTGGCTGGACAACAAACTTGTGATAATTTTATCAACGTTCCATAATCCAAAGGATATCACCTAGTATGAGGAGAACAAATTAAGACGGTTCCTCCTCAGTAATCCTTTGCTCAAAAGCAGTTGCAGAATATAACGTAATTATTGGAAAAGTGGACCACTTTTTGATCAGAGACGCGAAAGGTATGCAATCGAGAGACACTCAAGTGGTGGCATCGATTGATGCATTTTTTTATTGACCCTGTAAATGATTTTAAAATATGGAACTGTATCGAGATATGATCAACTTTCCTCGCTCTTAGACAGCTCACTGTAGGCCGGAAAATCCAAAGAAGATTCTTCTTTTTTGTAAAGAGTAAGCCAGGGACAAACGGGTGCAAAATAACGATTTCAATAGATTGGAAAGCATTTATCTGTCAGAGGATCTAAACGACGATGCGGAAAACGCAACACTAAAAGGAATATTCGAACAATAACGTGAAATCATTGCAAGAAGTCTTTATGTGTAATTACATATTTTAAAAAGTCTCACAGACTAAAATAACATTGCTAGGATAAGCCGGTTCTTTTCCATGCCTTATTCTACTATCCCAATCTTACTACCAGAGTCCAATGGGATATATGTGTCACGTGATATTTACCAAAATCCATATTACCTAACAAAAATTAGAAAAAAAACTCAATGATTCAGAATGCATGGCATTGCTGAAAAAGCATACCAGCAAAGCTTGCAAACAAAAAGTATCGTGGTCATGAAAGGGTTAAAATTCGTCTAAACTTGTTCCATCAAACAGTTGATGAAACAGTTTGGTCCCAATTAAGAAAGAATCCTTCACAGGTCTCGAGCTGGGCATCGGTCTAAGTGTGGATTATGCGGCACACATCGCACATGCCTTCCTGAACGCCGAGTCGCGAGAGGATGACACAAATGCTCGCACGACCCGAGTATTACTCGCAGTGAGACACATCGGTGCAGCGGTCGCCTACGGCGCGGGCTCGACATTGCTCGCCGTCTCGATGCTGGCCTTCTCGTCGAACTACGTGTTCACCGCTTTTTTCCGAATATTTTGCTTGGTAATTTTGTTCGGACTCTGGCACGGACTGTTCCTGCTGCCAGTCGTGTTGAGCACTGTCGGGCCGCGAGGCTTACGTGTGGTACAGCAGCCACAACCGATGGCCGAGAAGGCGATTATCGCGACTGACGATGAAGATTGAAACGGAAATACAGACAGTTTTGTTCAGGTAGTCGTGTTTCTTTATCAATAATATTTATTTTTGGTTCAATAAACATACAAAATTATTACACTATCCGTACTATTAATCACACATTTATACAAAAATAATTAATAATAATAATTATAATAATACGTCTGATAACTTAAAAACGGCATTATTTATAGATTTGTATATATGTATATATATTAAGATTAAAAAATTAAGAAATATTAAAAAAAAACAAGTACAAAATAATGTAGCAAGGTTGATATAGATTTATTATCAATTATCATCGATCGGAAAGGAACATGACTATTATAAACGTAACGTAATCATGTTTTGCTGGATGCGTTTATCCTTTATGTATAATCATAATTAATATTTATGACGTAAAAATGAGCGGCGAGGGAGCGACCTCGAGATTGATTGGCAAACTCCCTCCGCTGCCTCTCTCAGTCTTGCACGATCCACCTAACATTCGCTCAGCCATTCACTCCTGCGACCCCGTCTTCGTTGTTTCTCTCCGTCTCAAATTGCTCCTCCCGTCTCTCGCGGCTCAATCCGACGGAACTTTCTGACCGATGGCGACAAGAGGCAGGTAAATGCGAGCAATTTGGGCGAGACACGCAAGAAGGCGGGAATATAATAGACACACGGATATTCGTACTCGTTCGCACAGTAGCGCACACACATCGGAAACGCTCTCGGAGGCGCGCACGTTGTCTCCACCATTCAAGCATACGACGGTAGTTAGACTGCCGGGGCAGCAAGCCACGCATGAACGATACGATGATTAAGTTATTACAACATCTTCTTAGTTAAGTCGAATTTTACAAATCGGGACTCGTATATTTCATAATTGATGAGGAACCATCGATACAATAATAATCATAATCATAATATTTACTTAGCAAAACGTGTGCCGATCGGTAATTGTGGCGAATGACGCGTGATGTGAGCACAGTTAGTTGCGTTTAAAAGACGGGGGTGTCGAGGTACTGGAGAAGATTCGGGAGTCGGGCACGGGAGAGAGACTGAGGACGGCGAGGATCCGCAATCGGGGGTGGGTCTCGATACACGGCCGGGGACGTGACGCGGGGGAGGAGAGGCTGAACTCGAGGACGACGATGACCGAGGGCGTATTGGACTGCGAGGGAATCTGCACTCGCCGGAGAGGGGGGTGGGGGCGGGGAAGGGTTTCGAAGGTACACGCACTTGAGGGGTACACCGTGGGAAAGACACTCAGGGCAGACAGACACCGACATAGAGACTAGGCTACCGACTATACGTTAATATCTATCTAAACGTTTAATTAGCGTACGCACCGCGTACACATCCGGTACGCCCGGCACCTCTCGCGGGCGAATCGAGATTCGCGGAGGGCGCGTCAGAAGCACTCTCTCGCCACTGCTTCGCTTCCTTTTTATCCTCTTTTTTTTTCTCTCTCTCTCTTTCTCGGCTCCTTTATTATCGTTTTATTATAATCAGCGGTCGCGTCGTAGTCGTGTCTCTTTTCTTTCTTTCTTTTTCTTTTTATAGTAAACGCTATGTAGTCTTTATTACTCAAGCTTATGCCCAAAAATCTACCAGAGGCACTTTGGGTTTATTAGTACCATTTGAAGTCGGCGTGCGCGGGGGAGGGTGCCGCACGCCCCATTCTCTCGTGCGCGGAAATAGCGGGCGAGCACGCGTTCACGCCTCATCCTCGAGGGAAACGAACCCGTTAGCTCGTTGGACCGTTCCGGTCGACCTGCTGTCCGGCCGTCGGCCGCATCACCCCTCGCCTCCTCTCTTCCCCGGTCGCGCGATTATTACCCTGTCTGGCGACTGTGTCCTCGCCACCGCGTCCGTCCCTTCCTCCGACCTTCCCACCCCCGCCCTCCCCCCCAATTCCTTTTCCAGTAAGCCTACCAACAGCTCTGTATCTCTTACCCGCTTCCTTACCTTCCCACCACGGTCTTCCGATGTTTTTTGAGCAATAAATACTTTCTCCACGTATAACTGCACATTGAATTGACGCACAGGACACATACACACGTCGCACACAACGTCGGGCAGTCGTCATTCGCTACCAGCCGTACGCATTGACAGAACAGTCGCGCGAAGAAGCGCCCCCGGCTTCCAGCCACGTTGGCTCTTCAGCTCAAGCTCGTGCTTTACACCGTACTGGAAGACCTACTGCCCTGCTGAAGAAGATGGACAGAGCGAGACAGACAAACGGTTCAAAATTCTATCTCTTTCTAGTAATCTCGCTCGATCAACGATTTCTATTTCACTTGTATAAGGTGAGATAAAAAATTGTTGACTTAATCAGAATTCAGAAAGAGAGAAGCATTTGTCCGCCTCTTTCTGTCCATCAAGAGGGCAGTGGGTCTTCCAGTATAGAGTTCACTGAGCCCGCATTATACTGCAGGTTCAGTCCTGGTTACGATCAGGACCAGCGAATCAGAAATCGCCAATTGCAAGCGTAATTGAAGCGCTGCTAATTACAATCGCAGATCCCAACCGCAACTAAACCCGCAACCCGTAGCGTAATGTGGACTTCACTCCCGAGAGTATGCGAAATCGTACCGGGATCAGGCACTCCGTAGATCGTCGCCTCGATTTACAGACCACGCGATGCGACTTGGCAATTTGTGCGTAAATACGAAGGAAATAATAGTTGCTCGCGGACAACTTTGTTCATCGACGCGGCGATGTCCGCACGTGGACACGAGTTTCCGAAGAGGCGTGCGTGCTCTTTTCTCTTCTCTCTCGGTACTGTGCAATGCCTTCGGCTCTCGACCAAACGCACACCCATTCGCGCGGCTCACTTTCACTCACACCAATATGGCTACATCCACAGAGTTAATGTTACGTTTTTAATTAATGATTATCAATTCAATATCAATTCAATATCAATGTATTACAATCAGACAATACTCAACAGTGATCGTTATTCATTATATATTACAATAATTAAGAGTGACAACAACATGACGACGGAGGCGTTGAAGCATTACAAGGGAGAAAAAGAGAGAGAAAGAGAGAGAGAGACAGGGGGGTAGATAGAGAAAGGGAGGATTGAAAGTAGATGAATTGTAGGAGGATGAAGGAAGAGCAGGAGAGTTTCTCGTGGCGGGCATACCACAAGTAGTACGAGAGGGGGAGATAGATTCGGAGATAACGATGGACACGAGGACGTGGAAGGGGAAGGATAGGGGCTGTCGATGATTATGGAACACAGCGGCGATGATATCGGTGATGGATGCACGACGATAGGAATGAACGATTAAATGGCGAAATGGAACAACGAGTCGCGGAGACCAAGGAGGGGAAGCACGCACACTCAACACAACCGTCACATCGAGCTGGCCTCGCGCGCGGCCATAGTCCATAGATTAATTACTTACTAACTAATACACAGTCGTGTCTCCGTCGCGCGGACGACTCTCCTCTTTCCTGTTTCTTTTTTTCTTTCCTCCCCCACCCCTCTTCCCTCCTTCTCGAGCGCCGTGTAAGTATACGTAATACACCATATTAAATGCGCACGTGCGCGCGGTACGGCGCCGCCGAGTTATGGAGCGTGCGAGCGAGCGACAGCGCGCCACGTAAGCGTGTGAGCGGGTGAGACTTGCACGGGTCTCGATCCTTGCGTGATAAAGTTATGGCAAAACAACTCGGCGCGGAATACCGTCCTACCTGCTCGCACGCGCGCCTCCTCATCGGATACTAGATATACGCACACGCACACACAGGCATGCTTGCGCCGGTATAAAGTGTATATATGTACACATATACATACGACATACCATCCATACATATACATATATATATATAATATACCCATATTTAATTATTTCATCGTTACCGGTAATTATCATTATTCTCTTAAAATTCGTCAGTTCTCCGTAATTCAAAAAATTTCAGCTAGAGTAGCGGTGGATGGAAATGTTTCTTCGTTAAAAAGATCGCCGGATCGCCGAGGTGACGGCGCCGGCGATCGATCGTTCCTCTTTTCCTTTTAAACACATTTACAAATTGTCGCTCGACATCGAGGGCTCGCTCCTTCTCTTATCACTAGCGTGCGTTTCACGTTACATTCATCTTTAAAATCACTCGCGGTGCAAACGGGCGTGCGATCACCGTGCGCGACGAGGGAAACGCTCTCGCCCCGCTTCCTCCGCTCGACTCGACCGTCGAGCGGTGATCGTACCATTTAATATCCTATTACAATTATTCATGATTCTTTTTTTTTTGATATCTTATGTACAATTACGCGCGCACGCGGCAATGTGCTGCTTATGATTATGGCCACACCTACGAACTGGCGACCTCTGAGAAGACTTCCTCGACACATACTTTTAACACTTAGTCCTTTAATTAATTCCCAGTTTAACTCGCGACGCTCCTTTTTCCAGCCCCGCCGTGTGTCGGAATAACTTTAAAGTTCACTCGCGACTCGCGATTAATCTGGGAAAACTGGCTTTTGCACGGAACCTGAGATAATCGATTTCAAGGTAGGCCAGTTCCCTTCGTTCGCGCCGTTGATAATTATGCCGGACCGCGATTGACCGCTCAGCAGGGTAACTCTTGACGAGCAGGTTTCGTCATGTGCTTCATGGAGTTCATGGTCATGCATCAGGGATTGTCCGCCGCCATTATATTGTGCACTTGCTCGAGCTTGTACGCCAGTCTCTGCTTCTGCGAGAACTCGTCCTCCTCGAGCGTGACTATTAGTTGTTCGTTGTATTTACCCGCGTATGTGTACAGTTCGTATAAAGCACAATTCGTGTTAAACTCCGTTGTGTGCAACTGAAACAAAGTTGGACGATTAGCATTGGCGGGATCGTGCGAGCGAGCCTGGTTACGAAATTTACGGATTGCGAATACGGAAGTGGATAAATACCCTCGATTCTTCGGCAAGCATGGCATTCATGTCTTGATCGGATATGGCTGGCATGACTTTAATATCTGAGTAGTAACGCTCCACCCACTCTTTGTACACTGGAATGTCCTTCGCATATAATAGCTTTGAACTCGGAGAATCCTTACCTGAGGACAGCATAAGAGAAATATTTATACCCGTTACATCCCGCTAGTCGACGCGTAACATATTGGAATTGGTAAGAGATGCATACCTAATCTATGGTCCGACGTCGAACAACTGTCCATGAATGTCTGCGCCACGACGGATAGACACGAGTCCACGATGTTGGACTTGTGTATATCGAAAATAAAATTCGGATTTTTGATGAGATTAACCCAAAACCTAAGAGGAAGGGAATTGCTCTTCCACGTGTGGACCACTTCCGGATCGGATATGCCGTGCTGCAGAGCTTGGTCGTCCATAAAATCGAACATGTACTTGATGGCGAGAGGTAGCGCCGAGCCTCGATGGGCAGTGCTGAATATCGTCTCGAAAAGATCATCGACGAATTTCTGGAGTGTACCCTTGGTCGCCAGTAACCTCGTCAAATAGATCTCCGAGACCATTTTATTGCCGCGATCTCCCTCTTTTCGCGCGTCGGAGTCGTGGTGCTTGACGAGATGCCAGACCTTCATACCAGCCTCAATATTCTGATTGAGCGGCGAGGTGGCGCGAGAGAGTGGAGGACTCGCCGAGCTGAACTTGCTAAGGTTCAAAGTCTCGTACTTGTGCGACTTGTCCGTTTTCTCCGACAGAATCGAGAGATTGTATATAGACGATTGTTTGGAGACTAAGTTGAGCGACGCTCCGTCCGGTACCCTGTAGTGATTCAAAGTGTTCCTCTTCTTCCACTCGCCTTCCGTCTTCGTTGTCGAGTCTTCGTCGTAGAGAATTAATCTACCGGATGCGCCAGTTCGCCACTCTGCAATATTTCATCGAGTATAATAAGAGAATCGCACGGGTTTACAAGAGAAGGGGTCTAAGTGTATTCAAACGCGAGAGAGAGAGTCTCTTACCGAGATCAAGATCCTCCTTCCGGGGTCTTTGGCTGTACGGGGTCGCTCGGTAGATCGTGTCCAACGCTTTCTCCTTCACTTGAGATATTGTGTCGCAGTCTAGGACCTTGACCGGCACGTTCTCCGTGTTGGGATCCATTCCGCCAACAAACACGGTTTGTTGCGATATCGAAACGTAAACCGTCTAAAATTGTAATAAGAACGTTATTATTACAAGAGCATCCCCATCAAGTATTGACGTTTCCTTACCATTGGCTTGAAGTCGATAGATTGTCGGATCAATTTTTCCTCGGACAAGGAATATCGTGCTTCTGAAGTAATCGCATCGACAGGACCCTTATCGACCTGCTGTTTTACCGCACGAAACAGTACGTACAATGGTTCGCCGGCGCATTCTCTCATGAATTTGTACAAGAGAAACGTGAACCAAGCAGACAACATTTTCTCAGCAACGCTCTCAGTTCTACAAAGAGAGCAAGCCCCTTAAAATCCCAAGCATCAACATCGAATTAATAATTGCCCAGCGAACACCAAAATAACATGAAATACGTAACCGTTACCTGGCGTTCACTGGGTGAGAATACAACATCGTGTGACTTACCGTCTCAGGAATAACTTTGGATGGCTCTTGCCTTCCGTGCACTTCTCGATCAGATCCGCCAGCAAGGTCTTCAGGATGTCCGTGCAATATTCCATTTTGCTTTGTAGCGTAACCATGATCAGGCTGGCAACGTTGACTCGATCTCTCATCGAGAAATAACGATTGCTCTCGAGAGTACGTACGAACAACAAGAGGAATGTCTTGTTCATAATCAGTTGACCGAACAAGCGCAGCCCCTTTTCCTTTCGTACGAGCTCCGGCCTGTCCCACTGCAGCACCGGACTGTTGTCGTCGCTGGGGAATAAGATCATCATCGCGTAAGTGCGGTAATCGAGGAAGGGTATGCCACCGGTGGTGAGGTCCCCTGTGAGATCAGTCATTTCCGTCTGCAATTCGGCGAAGGCCTCCTTACATTCGGCAGCGACTCGTAGCTCAAGAATATCCATCTGCTCCTGCATATTCTTCAACACGCGATTGCTCTCCGTGGATTTTCTGCGATAGGCGATTAGGAACGCTATAAATACGAATACTAAGACCACAATAGCGGCTATGACGCCGATGAGCGCGGGTTTCGACAGCGGCCCGTTGAGCCCGGCTGGCAGTGCGTAGCTAAGCTTGCCGATGTTATAACGAAGCGCGCCGCCCACTATCAGCACCACCTCCGGCAATTCTTGTTTATTGGGCAGACCCTGGGCGTCGATAGCCGGCGGTTGCGTCAAGGGCGGTCGGCAGGTGAGCTGCTGCCGCGACAAGGACGTGACGTTGCAGAAGGCGTTACCGATTTGCACGACCACGTCGGACTCTTGGCAGGCGCGATCGAGGTGTTGGCCGTTGATCGTCAGGTAATCGCTCTTGTAATACTTGACCTCCTCGTCGAACACCTCGTAGATCGGATTCGGATACAGGAGGAAGTGGTTGAAGCCGTGCTGCGAGAGATTCTGCACGCCGGTAACATTGTCCATGCGGAAACCGTACTCGAGGGAGAGCGGCCGTTCGGCGTCCAGTATCACGTGCTCGGGCACCTCGATGGTCGGCGACTTGCACACCATGCTCTCCTGACTGTGCACCTCGCACTGCGACACGAACATCTTCTCGTCGTAGTAGACGTACATCTGCGGGCTCTGTATGTAGCCGAGGTTCTTGCCGGTCACCGAGATCTTTATTCCACCCGCCGGGATTCCCTTTGGGACCTTCATCTGACCGGCCACGCCGCTCTCCACGCTCTCGATCGTCGGATCGTCGACGTACTCGAAGTAACCGTCGTATAAACGCTTGCCACCGTCGAACAACATCTTTAGCTGGCCGCTCCGCTTTCGCTCGCTCGGGCTCGTCATGCAGAGGGCCTCGTTGGGTTCAGCGCTTATTATGGAGCAGGGCAGGTCGTCGATGTCAGCATGGATGGTACTACCGGCGTTCATGTAATTGCCGGTGATCTTGATGGTGGTGCCACCGCTCAAAGGCCCGTATTTCGGTGATATCGAGATGATTTGCGGATCTACAAATTCGAAATTGTAGTCGGATTCGCCGCGGAAGTCCTCGATCTTGACGATGACGGGCCCGCTCCTGCCTTCCTGCGTCCCAGGTCCGTCGACTCGGCAAACAATCTGCTTCGTCCGAATGTAGAGTTCTTCGTAAGGTAGGCATCGCATACCGGCCACGGTGACGCCACCGACTATGTCCTACAATGTACATTAAACGATTACGTGTATTAAACGAATTACATTTAATCGGATAACAAATATCGATATTGTATTAATGACGATAAGGGTTTAATACGCAGATTATTATGCGCGTAATATATGCTAGCGTGTGGTCGCGATTTACCGAATAAAATTTTTAACAAAATACCGAGATTACTTGAAATCAATAGTTTAATTCGTAGAGAAATCGCCAACTTTTTTTAACATAAAAACCGTTTGAAACAAAAAATCTAAAACCACAATCGCGCGATAAATAATACCTTTCCGGTAGTAAGCGCATTTGTAATATTTGAATTGTTGTAAAAAGTTGCTCAAACTGCATTATTCAATAGAATCCCTTTTTCGGCTTGTTGCAGAACTAAACAACAATTCGTCGATTCATTCATTAAATCCGCTTTCTGCCAAGCTTTTTCCGGAAGCGGTTTCAGAGTCGAGCATACTTTTGTGTTTTTACATATATTTTTTACGTGTATATTATTTTAATTTATCACTATCAAAATCTAATCTATGCCATTTTAAAACACAATAGCAAACTACAGTCTGTCGGGCTACAATAATCTGAAATGCTCTGGGAAATATTTCATAATTTCATTATCTCTTTGAACTTCGAAATACAATTCCTTGGCAATTAAAGTTTTTTAGAACAAAATTGATAATATCCTTTATCTTCCATGAATTATTGTGATACATTGCTATGCAAACGGCACACGGGAATAAGTCGGAGACTATATTTCGCTTCGATAACGAACAACAGGCAAACCGTATCACGCCTTTCTTACCTTGAACGTCTTGCCGAGATTGATACCGCGAATCGTCACGTTCGTGTTGCCCTCCCAGGGGCCCATTACCGGTTCAAACGATTTGATCTCCGGATTTGGGCAGGTCTGGTTGCTGTTGAGCCACATGCCCGAGCCGCGGTCGCACTGATCCTTCACCTCGCATCTGTCCGAGCTCTGGCACCAGCCGCATCCGTACTTCGTCGGCAGGGCCAGGCACATGCCACAGTTGTCCGCCATGTCGCGGCAACGGTATATCACAAGGTGTATATTGTCTGGATTATCCAGGGGCTTGGAACCGCCCCAGATCACTGCGAAAGGTACCGTGATGTTCGGCGCGCGGGAGGTATAAGAGAATTCTGTCTCCTCGCAGTAGATCGTGTCGGCCAACAGACGTGCGTTTACACTCGTCACGCGACCCTCGATGTTGAATTGGCACACGAACCGCGTTTGTATGATGAATTGCTGGACAAAAAAAACCAAATCGCATTTTGTACAGAACGCACGTTTATACAATTACTTATCAACGAAATCTCGAATTCAATAATGTACTTAAATTGAGTATGAGCAAAAAACTTATAAGACCTAAGTCTTAGAAGTTGGAGATGAAATTTAGAAAAATTCACGAAGCTTTTGTAACGTTTCACAAAAGATTCAGAGACAATAAGATACATTGGCAATTGATAAAAAAAAGTCTAGTGACGTAATTGACGTACCCCAATGATATGCACTTTGACTCGTATCGCCTTTTTGATACCGGAAGACACGAGGATCTCTTGAGATTCGGTGGCGTTTATAGTGGGACAAAAACCTGGCCCACTTCTATAGCTTGGTCCCATTCTCTGCAAGAAATACGTGAGGTGAAAAAGCAAGCTATTAATATTTACCATTAACGCAATTAAAAATTTCTACGTATTGCGTTAATTTGCTCTTAGATTTTATTTCGCTTACGCGCCACTTCTTTTAATTTCACTCAATTTAATTAATGCCGTTAGCGTCTTTACTCGAATTCATTACATTTGATTATTGCAGGTATTATGCGATTCAAATCATAGAGCGAGGTTCTCAGCGTCGAGTTTTCATCAAAAATTACAAGTTAATTGATAATCACGCATTAATATTCATGGAGTGAACGCAACGTTTTAACTCCAAAACAAATCGAGTTGATGTTGAAATGAAATTAGTCGATGCATGTTAACATGTACGCAACAACAGAATTGCAATTCTGCTCCGAAATTAGGTGTTGTGAGTTTGAATATATGAAGCACATATGAATCGTTTATCTTGCGAAAACGATGTAAATCCATTTTGAAATTTTAATGAGTTTCAGTAAAATGTGAATATAAGCGAACGCACGGGTACATCGATTTTAAGATTTTTTCATTTAAACTTATTTTACAAAGAAATAATTTGACATACAAAACACTGTTAATTTCTCTCATACAGAATCGAGGGGCGTATGTATACGCGTGTGTGTAATTTTAGACACAAGTAAAAAATTATCAACGTGATGTTTATATGTATATGAATTATTGTGTTGTTTTTAAAATGGTTTCTCAGAGATCTAAGAGTATGTTAATATAAAGTAATTTTTAATTTCAAATAAAATCTGATATACAAACAATTCAATGTGCATGTCGATGACTGCGCTGCACTCAAGACATTCAAACCTGTATTTTCATATTTTAATTAATGAAACAAAATTAATGAAAATTCACTCAATATTTTCGACCGCTTGTTACATGACGTTCTCATTTGCTTGCGAGATGCAGCGAGAAATTAAATAGAGATAGAAATTTCCTCACATGCCAATAATTTCAAATTACTATTTAAGATTTAAGAATCGTTATAAATTACCTATTAAATAACACAAGGTTCATTCTGATCCTATATAATTTCTTTGCATATATCGACTCAGTTTATTCGTGTATCTTGGTGCAAAAGTTAAAATGCATCGAGTAATACGTGAAATTAAAATTCAAGTAATTCAATATCTTTGTTGCACCTTCGAAACATTTCAATCGGGCGATAATATTCGTAATTTATGTGACACGAACCGTTTCAAAACGAGACGCGAAATGATAACAGCCAAGCTCGCAAAAATCGACTTCGAGTACAAAGGACATATTCGAGCAATTTACTTGATAAATCGTTGTATACATTTCGGCAGAACAGGGCGACAACATTTTGGTTGACGTACGGCCTTGGCATTTGTTTATTTGTGGTATACAACTGGTCGTTGTGTAAGCAAGGTATGCTAAGTACTATTCGCGTGATGATACTAGAGCAGGCGGGCAGAGGCAGCGGCGCGAACTGCTCCGCGTGCCAACGTGCATTGTTATTCTTTGTAATGGGAATATTCCGACTAATTAACGATTATCGGCCCGCGCAATCAGTCAGCTTCTACAATTAATAGTTTGCGAGGGCATTGAAGGCAAAGGCTATTTGTCGAAGCAGCGTTATTACACGTTCGGTTTGTTCGCGGAGATCAAGGCAGCGGGAGATAGAATTCGTATAAATTATTGTTACGTTGCGATAATTATTCCTTTAGCTTTACTTAAATTTGAGTCGCGCTACATATTTTTTATCGCAATTCATTATGCGTAATTACCATTTCGGATATAAATCAATGGAAGCGGTACTTATTGTTAGTGTATCGCTTATTAATAATACTTTGTGCAATTATGCAATGCTGTTAACATCTGTAGTGCCGCGCGAGCGCTACCTCCTGGTGATTAACGAGCGCGATTATTATTAACCGTGTTTTCGCAAATACTCTGTTGTACGAGTGCAACGAAGAAGAGCAAGGAGCCTAGAAGGTATTGAGTGACGGCTGTATTTACCATTCAATATTTATGTAGCATTTATTATTTAGAAGATTAATAGACTTATTTGAATTGTATTGTTTGAATTCGGATAATTCAAATACACTGAGAGAATTTTCGCTTCAAATTCATCCTGAAAATCGTGGAACAACACGGCATTTCGAAGAACTTTATGAAAGTTTTTTGAAATTTTACCATACATTTTACTAGTAATCACTTCACTTACAATTAGTATGTAGTTCACTAGTAAAATGTATGGTAAAATTTCAAAAGACTCTCATAGATTTCCTCGAAGTGCCGTGTTGTCCCACGATTACATGAGTTCCGGGGTAACTTTAAGAGAACATTCTCCCCGTGTAAGAATTCAAGAAAAGGACTTCTCTTGGATCCGTATGCATGTATACAATTATTTGATCAGAAACCTTGGATTGACCACTAATGAAGATATTCATATCGATTCTGTCTGTAGATAAACGGCAAGAAACTTACGCTGACTCCCGTGACGAGGATATCGTTACGACAATTCTCCGCAGTGTCGTGCGTGCACCGATGACCATCAACGCACCAGTCGCACGGGAAGCTCGACGACACGCACTGTGTGCACGAGCTGTACGTGTTGCAGTCAAAGAAAGTGAAATTTGTCGCCACCAAATCGGGCCCGTTTGTCATCCGCACGGACAGTTTGGCCGTGAAATGGTGCCGGCCCGGCGGTATCGACGGCAGCAAATCGGTCCTCGGCGTGGTGCAGTTTACGCCGTAGGACTTGCGCGAGGCGTTCGTAATCAGGGTCTTGTCGAGGGCGGAGAACGCGCACAGAAACTGCCCGGAGAGCGTCGGCAGGTTCTCGATGACGAGCTCAAGAGTCCTGGCAGTGGTGCGTTGCAGTTGGTCCGGCGTGACGGTGGTGATCGTCGTGCATCTACCGCTCTTGTAGGAGATCCAGTACAGCGGATCCTTGGCCGCGTCCTGGCAGTCGCTACGCAAGTTGCACTTGTTCTCCAACGAGCACCAGCCGCAGTACGGATCCTTGGCACCCAGACAGTCCCAGCAGGTCTTGTAGACCGAACACTCTTGTACCTTGACCTTAGATACTTTCTTCTCTGTCAGCACGTAAAGATGCATCAGCTGCGAATCGAACAGCAGATCCGGGTTCACCGGAGAGCCGGGATCGATCTCGAGATCACCGTACTCCAATGCCAGCGTCGAGCTCTCCACCACCACCTGCAACAAGAACATGTATGTTTTTTTTAAATGTAAATTCATTACCACGGTTAATTGATTTAAATCAATTATAGGATAATCTATCCGAGTGCGGAAAGGCGTAATTATATTTTTCCGACTAAAACTAGACAGAATTAAATCCATGAGTATGAGATAAACTTCCCCCTCCCCAAAATATCAGAATTTTAAGAGTTTTGCCTAGTGTAAAATTGTAATTCCTTTGATTACCCTGCCTTCCGCTGGAACAATAACGTTGGCAACAACAACGTAATGCATTCTCGCAGTCACGTTCAGAAAACATTTAACAAACGTAATTAAAATGTAATTATTTCTAATAACTTGAAGAAAATGAACGTGTATCAAGTCTCGCGCAGTTGGCCGCTTGCGAAATGTAATTCGTCCGGACGAAAATGTTTCGACTGCGACAGCATCGTCAAAAAATCAAGAATTTACAATAATCGACGGATTTGTGTAAAATTCGAGAGACGCGGTAATTGATGATCGCAGTTAACAGACTTGTGTAACATATTTAACGTATGTATAATGCCAGAGTGCTCTTGTGTTAACGAAACGGGGATGATACGGGCGGGATGAAGAATTAAATATTCACGACGAAATTATGAACAACTGCCAGGCTCGGCGAGCGCGGAACGAATGTTACTTCCGTTTACGTATTTATTGGGTATTCATTACCAATATTAGTTCGGTGACGACCTCTCATTGCGTATTCCGTTTTCCCCATTCCCACGATAGTAAACATTTCCAAAAATATTTAATACGCGCAGTCCCCCGTCGAAGCATCGCCCATTTGAATAGTAATAGCGTATATCGTGTACAATAATAATCCGACTGTGCGGCAACATTTGACAGCGGTGAATTTTACTTTCGCACTACGGTTGTAACGTTGGCTATTAACGTTGTCGCGTAGAGATTCGTCCCCGCAAATTTCCCAGGTGGATACCGCGCGCGTGTATACCCGCTGTCGCGGGTCAGCTTCTTTTTAGCTTCAGCGCCGGCTGGTCATCGCCGGACGTCTCGGTGTAAGATTGCAGCCGCCGAAAGTAATAGCGCGGCTGCAATTTGCACGCTATTATTTTAACGCGAGACTCTAAGCGCGTCGCAGCTTTTTCAGGGACGCGCGTGGTACAATCATCTCTGGCCAGGTACACTTGCGTAACATTCATTTTCTTAGATCTCACCGCGAGTCTCGTTCGCGGTCGCGGTTACGGGGTCGTAAATTAAATTCCAGTCCGCGACGTCGCGGGCTTTCAATTGACAGCGAAATGATGACGACGGATGGAGGTAGGTCCCCGGGGACCAGAATCGCTCGCGAGGCTAATAAAAAGATCATACTTTCGGATGGTAATAACAGTAATCATGTCGCAACGCGACGTGAATCGCTTTAGCGGCGACGTTTAGCTTCGATGTAACGAATTTACAGAGAATGACACTCGCTGTTCATTTGGTAATTATTACTATCATCCTAAGGTTCCTTCGTAACGCTCGTGATGATCACCGGTGATATTGCGTAACGACCGTGTTACGGCAACATTACAGCTCCGCAAATACCCGATTGTGCTTAACTAATTAAAGTCTTGTATCTTTTAAATACGTAAAGTTTTTACGGATTTATTTAATTAATTAGCTTCGCGCATCTCTCTATTTCAAAGAACTCTGGCCTCTGGCAAGTATTTCCTGAAATATTAAGCATTTCGAGGCTAATATCGGCACGATAACTTCATACATTCGTAGCTTGTTAACGACAATGTTATGTAACATGGAAAAAGACGTACACATTACTGGAAACGAGCTATTTTACTGAAGCAGAAATGGAATAGTTAAACATTCGCGTGTAATTTACAACAAATTGAATTGAGAGAGAGAGAAAGAGAGAGAGGGTAAAGCGAAGTTCGTGGCGAACGCACGGGGCGCGCAGTCACTATTCCGATTTAATTAACAAATATTAATTAAGTCGCGTCGCGCGGCGCGAATCGAGCCAACAGGCAATTTGCCGCAATTTGGTAAACATCTGTTCGTCTATTCCACAATGCTCATTAGAACAATAATTAATGCCTCTTAATAAAGGCGGAAGTATGGATTATTACTTATGTCATTGACAATTGCCCACACAGTCGCGAGTGATAAATGCAGGAACCGGACTGGTCTAACCGAACGAGGTGGCAAAATCGACACGTTCTTTTTCGTACTGTAATATAAAACAATTTATGAAAAATGCATCTGTACACGGAGAGAATTTTCTCTTAAAATTTTCCCGGAAAATCGTGGCATTTTGAAGAACTTTATGAGATTTTTCTGAAATTTTACCATACGTTTAACTAGTAAAATGTATACTAATTGTAAGTGTAATAACTAGAGTGAAATGAATGATAAAATTTCGAAAAACTCATTCCACGATTACACGATTTTCAGGATAAATTTGAAGAGAAAATTCTCTCTGTACGTGTAGCATTCTTTCAAAGTTTCACCAGCTGCACGGTGGTCAATCATTTAATTGAAACTCGACGTTTAATTAGAAGTGACCTTTGTATCTTCCGGAAAAACTGTTCAGCCAATTCAGGCTCGTGAGAAGGAACGCGGCGTGGACGAGTCCGGAAGAATTCTAGGCAAGGGCTAAGGGCTGTCCACTACGTACCGATCAGCATTCGACCTCTGGCCGAGTAATGAGTCGTTACTTAAGACAGGCAATCACGGAGCGGTAACTATGTTACAATCTTTGTGTCTTGGCGGGTTGGGGACGGGCGGACGAGAAATAATAACAATAATTACAAGGCTACCGAGTGTTAGTGGTGGTTGTTAATTCTAAGGTTCGCCCGCGGTATTCGCGGCTGGTCTTTTTAGCGTGATTTCGTTCGCGCCGGTATATACGGTAACGCGAGTGCGATGTTCGCGCGTCATTCGGCCTCGGCAAATCCTCAGCCAACGTCGACGCACAAAGAGGCTTTAATAAACGCGCGGGGATAAAGGCAAGGTCGTCGAGGTCGAGGATGAGCCGGTAGGAGGGTTAAGAGCGAAGGGAGGAGACGGGGGAGCAGATAGAAATTATTTCTTAATGGAAGAAGAAGCATCGCGAGGCAGACGCAAACGCAAAGGGGGTACCTGGTAATGATGAAGAAGACGGAGACAAGGTGCAGGCAAGAGGCTCGTAAGAAAGTTGCGCGAGCAGACGAACACGAGCAGAATAGGAAGGGATAGATGTGAAAAAGAATGACGTCAATAAAATTAAAGTAAGCCGGTAATAAACAAATTTTTTTCAAGCTAGACGGAGATGAATCAGAGATTCATCAGCCAGAAAAACGTAAGAAAATTGGATGAGGAGATGTAATATGCCAATTATCAAGCGCAATGGACGACGGACATGGAGTCCGATATACATATCGAAATTAAAATTTGTAGAGATTGCACACGAAGAGACTTTCTCTTAAAATCCATCCTGAAAATCATGTAATCATGGGATAACGCGGCATTTCGAAGAGTTTTCGTGAAAATTTACCATACATCTTACTAGCAGGTATTTATACTTACAATGCCGTGTTGTCTCACACAATTAATAATTACAAAATAATTGAAGATCACAAATAACGACAATAATTTTCAGGCTAAATTTTCAGAAAAAATTCTCTCCGTGCAAAATAATTACTTCGCGAGGAAAATGAGTTTTCGATATTTATTCCAATTCATGGGATAATCATAGAGCGCTGGTAATCGTAAACAAAAATTAATTCTCTTAAATTTTCTATGCAAAGTCGAGATATTAATAGGCAACAGTAAATATTATCCAATTAAAGTGTTATTAAATTAGAGTTTTATTTCACGTCGAAGTAATAACAGTTAAACTCTCATCAAAATCTTGTTATTGCCGTCCGCCTATTTCATACGATATATCAAAGCAGAATTAGGGAACTTTTATAAAGACAGGCGCAGGTGCGGAGATATAAAAGACAAAGTCGCACACGGCAGAAAATAAAGGATGAAAGGACGAGAAGGGGATTAAGCGCGGGGCGAAGGATAAGATATTGTCGCCTTTTGCGTCTCGACATTCAATCGATGAAGGTTTAAACGCGAGGAAAATAATAATCGCGACGCTACCGAGAAAGTAGGCGGACGTCTTAATTAACGAGCCGGTTGCGCTCCCGGTTTTTCTGGCACGCGCGATTGCATGTGCATCTATCCTTGCGTTTGTATTGCGTGGGCAACGCTGCCGGTCAGTGCGTCGGGCTGACCGATAAAAAGCGAATCGAACGTCGACATTCCTGAATCAATTTCGAGCCGAGCATGTTCGCGCGTCCCACGTAAGGTGCTCGCGCATTAATGCCACGGTGAAATTCACGCCGTAAGTTCGTTATGGTAAACGCGACCGGGCGCGATTAACGAGACCCGTCTTTGTCTCCATCGGCGCATGCAGGAAGCGACGGACTGTCGGCCGATCGATACAGTCAATCATTAATTACTGATAACATGTTACGAATATCGCGCGCTCCATGAGTAACGAACTATATTTATTGCAAAGTTTAATGAACAGTTTCTTACGTAATTAACGAGAGCGTGAGAGCGGTCGTTATCTACGGACGCAGTGTGATAGTTTCTCCAGCTTCATTAAGAATAACTGAGCACTAAAAATAGCTCGTACATTATACCGTGGTGAATCGGAAAAAAGTTTTGTTTTTTCAAAACTGTATCAAACTTTGAAATATTTTTAATGATAGATGAATTCGATTATTACTATCTATATTAATTACACAAGTAACAGAAACGCGTTACATACGGTCGCGCTGGATCTTCAGTGTCTAATATTATTTTGCGTATACGTTCAACTAAGCGAACTGTGCGCCGATAACTTTCGGTCTTGAAACACAATTGTGAGTTGAAGTCGAAATAGTATACGTAATTACATTGGTATTCAATTCATTAATGATGCTTTTAATTGCTAATCAGCTTAGGGCAGGTTGTTCCGAACTCATGGTAAGTTGACCGATAGTTAA